AATGTTTAAAATAATAAAACAATAAAACAATTTTACATATACAATAAAACTGGTGCTTCAAATCTATACAAATCTATACAGTATACAAGATGCTCAGATTAGAAACAGTGAGATTTTTGGTCTGATGTTCCCCAAAGCCCAGCATCAAGTGAGGGACTCTTCTCCATGCAGCATGTTCTCAGGAAAGGGCAGGTGGTGATAGGAACCAAAAATAGTGCATGGCTGCCAAGCCATAATATATCAACTCCTGCTTTCTCATAAAATTAAGATGACTACAAACAAATGGAAGGGGAAGTATTGACATGATTGCCTCCATGACTGAAGGGGGGGAGTACTTGCTCACATTCCTTTCTCACAAAGAGATCAGTGTCATAAGTGACCAACTAGAACCATCTGTCACTTTATTTTGGGGCACAAGACACTGCTTTTGAAGACATTCATGCAAACTTTGTAGATTAAAGTCCCAAAACCGCAAATGAAACTTAAAATGAATAAATTATAAATAGAAGCCTGATTTTTGTATGATCTGGAAACAAGCAGTGAAATGAGTATGATCTGGAAGTGAGCAGTTGCTAGATAAGACCAGTTAAAAGATCCAAGCTAATAGCTTTCATTCTATATTCATGAATTCACAAATACTTATTATGAATGCTTGAAAGGAAAAAAAGAGGTTAGTCAAAAATGGACTATAACAGAATAACTCTATCACTTTCATAAGATTGCCAGTTACTTATTGAACCATAAACCTGTTATTCACATGTTAGAAAAGCTGATGTTGTCCAAATCCCATTTTTATTGTTAAGCAGAAAAGTTATATCAATTTAATAATAGTCTGAAAAGATCCTAATTTGAACAATCACTCAGAAATGCAAACACAGAACACCTCCACTTTCTAAAGAATAATAATACTGATGAAGGAAGGATATTTGTTGCCATCCGTAGCTGGAATATGCAACAGTGGCAGCAACTATACCATTCATAAAGCAGCAGCTCCCCATTTGCTTGGCAGATGCTGCTTTTGCCTAGTCACAAAAGACTGGCTGTGGCCAGAACAATTAAGGAGCTACCAATTCGTAAAAATAACCCAAGCTTTTAAGGATGAGAAGCTGGTACAGGCATTGATGATACAAACTCTTTTTTCTCTCTTCTGAAAGACAAATGTTTATTAGTCAGTGGAGCCTCTCCTTTCTTGTGGTATAATCAGAGATGGAAGAGAACTCTCCCACATCACCAAAATTCCAAACTGGCAGAGGAAAATGTCCATCTCAACACCTGTGTGGACAACATGCCAATCAAATATTGCTATTACAGACTTAACATATAAAAGTCACACTAAAGTGGACCTCTGTTTTTGTTATTAGAATGTGTGAGAAGTAAAACAGTCAACTGTTCTAAGAACAGAGTTATTCATTGAATGTTGTTTTACTTAGATGGCAACTTGACGCTGAGCAAAGCAAATGCTTCAAATATCCCACTTCAGCCTCCATGTCAGTCCTTGCTCTAAGAGTACCCTCTCCCTAAACTGTGGACCTGCTGCTTCAGGAGAAGCACAACATCTACATTTTATCTTGATTCAGCATTCATCCAGCCCACTAGCATGCTCAGGCAATGGTTCAACACCTTCGCTACCTCATGTGATTTAGGTAACTATCAGAATCAGTCCCAGAAACAAAGTAATGTTATTAGCAGCACATGCAGTGATTGCATATGGTTGGAAGGAGAACTCAAAATGGACTTTAGAAAAATGGAACGAATATTTATACAAATATATACAATCGGACATATTGGAATGTTTAAAGCAAGATAAGATATGGACTGTAAAAATGAAGGAGATAAAAAAGAAATGGTTGGTATACTTTAAATGGGTTTATAAAGGGGGAGCCAACAGGGGTATATTTGAAAAGTTGGAAAGAATGTGCTCATGGTTAAAAAGGTAATGTGAATAACAGATGGTGGCCACCTTAGGGGGGGAGGGATAAAATAGGGGAAAAGAAGTATCAAAAATTTGGAACTAAACTGTAATGTAATAACAATATTGGGATACAATTAAAAAAATATTTTTTAAAAAAAGAATCAGTCCCAGAAAGAAAGAACCTAGCAACAAAGCTTATACTATGAAGGCCTTGTTCATGGGCAGTTGCTCAGACCACATCCAGAATGAGAACAAAAACTAGCATGACTGGGGCAGGGGGAGTAATTTGCAAGTGCTGTTTCAGTCCAATTTTGAAAGTCTCAATATTAGTCACTCACCACAGAAAAGAGTGTTACTAGCCTAATATTAAATATCACACGATAGCAGCCCAGAGGTATAATACTACAAATGGAATTAATTCTGGTATGCTCAAGAGTGCACAGGCCTTAATGTTAGGGATTACAACACAGAGAACCAAGCTCGGGAAAGAGCTGCCATTAGTCACTTCTCTGACTGGATCAAGATTGTACCTGCACCTCACAAACGTTAGAAAAGTTGAATGTTCCATCCAGAATTCTTTGACATTAAGAAAGTATTCCAAGGCAAAATGTGGTAGTTGCGATCTGCAGACTAAGTCTGTGCGGCTCTGCATTTGAAAATTTTCTTCCCAACCTAGTGAAGCAGGCTGCAGAATCAGACATTCTTCCTAGATGCATAAAGAAGGCCAACCTTTTCAATTAAACCTCTTTCTTTCCACTATAGTAATAAATGACTCTAGTACCCGAATACCTAACATGCTGACAAATGCGTAGTTCAGAGAGAATAACACAAGTGGCCATACATAGATATGATGCTACAGGACAAAAGCAGTACCATTTTTCACATGAAAATTGATTGCCTACCAACTGAACTCCTTATAACTTGCCAACACAGAATTTAGCACTGCTTGAAATAAGAGGCTTCTCTCTATGTAGCAGCAATACAGGCTGCAGAGTGTGTAGGCAATATCATCTCAGAAACTATGTAGAAATTCAGTATGATTTGAAGTGGGCAAGGTTCTACTCCCTGCAGTTACCAGCTTGACATTAAAAAGTACTGTAAAGTAATGCCAGTTTGTCATCAGCCTACTTCCATTACCCATAAAACCTTTCCCCTTTAATTGCAGGAGGAAAAACCTCAGTTGCCAGATATTTATACACAGGAGATTGTACATACACACATGATCTACTTCATGCACTTGATGAGATCAGTTCTAGTCTATGAAAATGTGTGCTAGAAGAAAAACGTTGATGTTTAAGATGTGACAAGACAAGACTCCGTTTACATTTTCTGCAAATGACTACATGGCTGCCTCCCAAGAATGAAACACATCTAGCTTGATATTTGGTTCAAGCAACATCAGAGGTTTTCAATCCAAAACACTCTCTTTGTTATATCACAAAGAATAGCACAACACAAGTATCAAGGATGAGAACTCTTTTTCGATGCTTTTGTTATTTCAGGAGTAACCTCTTGAGGATACTTGTGGTGCGTGCTGCACATTAGGAATTCTATTAATAGAATTCAATGTTACTTATTTTAGGCTCTGGTACTTAGTATTTTCTATAACTGTGCCAAGAGAAAACACTCCGAAAGTCAAAAGTATCTGTCACACAAAAACTCCCACAGAAGACATATTAATGCCTGTAGGACATAGTAAAGTTTGAGGCAAGACAATCTTGAGGTTACCAATGCTGCAAAAGATGTATGGTAACTAAAAACAGACATTATTTCAGTACTCTAAATCAACAAATAAAGTGCCCCAAGCTGAAACCACTGATTCAATATAGCTTTCCTAGGAGCTTCTTTTTTGCATCAGCATCTTTCAGTTTCCTATTTTAATATTTCACAGACTCATGTAAGTAAAATGACAAAAACCAAGGATCTTTAAATACAAGTGGGCTGCTTTTAACTGAAATGTATTTAATAAAAAAGCCCCTTCTATAGATCCAACAAATAAAGCATCAATTAAGATCCTTGTGTGATTCACCATTTCAACGTGAGATTTCAAACAATGCTTCCCAAACTAGCCTGAGCTGGGGGGGAAAAAATTACATCAAGTCTGCCTTGACCACATTTTCAGTCCTTCTCTGATAACATTACACTTACTTTTATGGCATCATTTCCCCTTATATGGAATAATGGGAAGCAAATATGAAAACGTTGTTACTGGACAACAGGGGGGAAATGACATTACCGTGGGGTAAAGAAATTATTATTTGGATGGAAACTTTAAGGAAATCCTCTACAAAAGGAATAAAAGGCAAGGACATGGCACTGACAGTGCACAAGTCCTTGCTAAAGTTATACTGCAGTGAAGGAAAAGGGTTTCCCTGACTTAGCCAGGAGAAGGTTACATTCATTCACTGGTACAATAGCTTTACAGATACAGACCAAGGAGAGTAGAGGGAAAACTGGCTGATACCAAGTCATGCTGAAGCCTAGTGACTTGGTGTATTGCCATCTCAGTGCACCCGGTCATCTGTGGGTGAAGCAAGGCACTAGTTTTCTCGTGAATCCCCGCATAGTCCTACAGGATATCTAGTGCCAGGAATGTGTCCACCGAATGCTGTCAGTTTGCCTACTTCACAGGGATACACTGGAAAGGAAGCTCAGCAGAGGGGCCAGTAAAGGTTCCAGATTATGTCAATAGCCCCCGATAATGAACCCTGCACTCTAAGAACTATGCAGGAGAGGAGTCAGCATCAATTCCCCCTGGAAAATAGCCAATGCAATAACGTTAAGCCATCTGTGAAGAGGTCAACCCCAGGAGAAGAAAGAAGGAGAAAATACAGGCACTGACGGGCAAGTTTAGCCTGGTTCACTAAAACAGACCTGACACTGGGCTTATTTTGAAACGTTATCCCTCTTCTCGCCCTCCCCTCAGTATCATCTACCTTTAGGGCATTACCCAGAACTAAGGGAAATGACTGCGGTTATCATGAATGCCTCTGTCAGCGGCTGAGTCCCAAGAGGCAGCTAACCTGGGGAAGGGGGGCGGGGAGAGAGAGAAAAAGAAAGGTTCAGCCTCCAGGCACATTCCCAGCACCTCAGCCCCCGTCTGCCCACCCATCCCCGAGGCGGCGGCGGCGGCGGCAGCAGGCAGCCGGCGGGCCGGGCCACTCGGGCTCTCCCTCCCGGGATTGCGTGCCGCCCGTCGGGCTACCTGGTGCAAGGCTGTCAGCCCGTCCACGTTGGCCGTGTTGAGACGGGCTCCGCGGGCCAGCAGCCGCTTCACCTCCTCGGTGTCCCCGCTGGAGCAAGCGGCCAGGAAGACCGCGCCGTCCTCGAAGCGGACACGGGGCCCGCCGCGGTGCCGGCTTCGGGCGGGCGTCACCGGCTCCAGCTCGGTCAGGGAACCCTTCCAGCGTTTCAACTGTTCCGCCCGCCTCAGCTTCGCCGACTCGGCCCGCTTCACCCCCAGGTGGCCGGGCTCCGACATGGTGGTTGCTCCAGAAGCCGTCAGGCGCTCTAAGGACCAGGAAACGCACCGGACGCCTCAGCCCGGAGGACAGAGCGACAGCGCCGCCGCCATCTTTCCCACTCCCACCGCCCCCTCCCCTCAGCTACCGCGGCGCGGGCGCGGACCGCACCTTAAAGGATCATGGGAAAGGTAGTTGCAAAGGGGTGGGACCTTGTCCAGGCTACCTCTCCCGAGATCTCCGATGACCGGAACGCTGCTTTCATTCCAGAGTGGACAACTTAAAACGCAAAATGAGGAAGTCCAGACAGAAGGGCATGGTGGAGGGGGAAACTCCTGTGGTTTTAGCCTTGGACTCTTCAATGCACAGCTACTAAAATATTTTTTTAATACGTGTAAATATGTGTGTGTGTGTGTACGTTTAGATACGTGTAAATATGTGTGTGTGTATACAAATACACCCCCCCAAACCCAGCCACTCGCACATTTGAGTGATGGAATGACTACCCAAGGAGACAGTGTGGCTTTTGGAGAACAGAGCTGGGACATTATGTAGGAGATTTGTTATTAGCTCTACCAATATTTTAATATTCAATATGTTGTCCAAGGCTTTCAGGGCCGAAGTTCATTAGTTGTTTGTAGTTTTTCCGGGCTGTATGGCGTGGTCTTGGCATTGTATATATTATAGTGTTATACCTCTGAGGATGCCAGTCACAGCTGCTGGTGAAACATCAGGTACTACAATGCCGAAACCAGGGCCATACAGCCCAGAAAATCTACAACAACTAATTTTAATATTCACTTACAAAAAAAAATTCAGGTCTCCAAATTTGATTATTCCATTTTTTTGAACTATTCAACCGACCCCCCCCCCCCCCCCCGCTTTTAGTCCTATTGTGGTGGGAAAACACAGGTATGAAAGAATGCACTGTATAAATAACGTAGACAGAAAAACGCCCAAATAGTATACAAAAATTACTGAAAGACGTTTATATAACAAAGTGACACAATACTAGCAAAGGAATAACAACAGACTACATGTATCAGTAATATAATACAAAAATACATTAAGTAATACAGAGTGTGCAGAAGAAACTGGCACAGAAGACACAGGGACAAAGACTCCGGATTTCAATCTTAGTTTCAATAGCTTTTCTTCAATTACTTCATAAAACACTCATAGTATACAGAAGCCTTCAAAACAGTATATATAGGCAAAATGTCCAATCCTTATATCAAAAAAGTCAAAACCGGGCAACCGATCGGCAATAGAATTTATTCTTGTATTGTCAGCAAGCCAATACATCATCTGGGAAGTATGGATTAAAAAAAATTATTCCATAGACTGTGTTCATCATGTCAATGCAAACCTAGCCAAAATTGCTGTCTAAACTCATTGAAATAATGGTGGGTTTTTTTACTTAGTAACTTTGCGTAGGACTGCACAGCAAGTCACTTTCTGAGCATGAATTCTGAAAAGATCTTCAAAAGATCCCACTCCTTCAGGCAGTAAGGAGATGAACCATGGAGAAACGGCTTTTCTCTGATAGAGCCCCAGTTGCTGAACAGCTCATCCAGCACTTTTTAGAGTTTGGGGCATCAGATCAAAACAATTTTATTTTTCAGAACTGCTGCTTCTTTTTAGCATTGCTCACCATGTTTAGATTCTGCTTTTCTATTGTATTATAGCACATTTGTGTTGTATTAACACTTGCTGTTCTGTGTTTCTATATTGGTTAACCTCACGGGCTCCATCTTGTGGATGGATTAGCTCTTAGCCTGCCTGTAATTTGTTTTGAAAAGGACAAGGATGATTGGTACCAAACTGAAAATATCACAGACAGTGTGCAGACTTTTGACTTCTCCACAATGTAATACCATCTCCACTCAGTACCATTTAATATAATCAAATCTGGAGCACATATTGGAAATCATACACAAAAGTGACCTTAACATCATGATTTGAAAATATCTCTGCCTTTTGTTTTTGTTTTCCAGTATCCAGCATGACGAAGAGTTCCATATAATGAAAACGTTTGCACAATAATTCATAATATTTTGGTTAGTCCAAATAAAAGTTATTACATAACTTTTGTTGTTGGATTTTTCTTTGGATAAATGCAGCTGCAATCTCTGTCATTTATTGGCGATTTAGACAATCAGCCATATAAGTAGGTGCCACATATTACAGTTACCACTAGACTTCTATGTAAATTACCTGTTGCTGTACAAGAAATGAAAGCTTTTAGTCATAGTGCTTGTCATCTTGAAATCAAAGGCAAATTATTACAAAAAATGAAAGATCTGTATATTACACAGTATTATATTTGAGGCAGAGCAGCCTCTGTCACCAATCAACTGAGCCAATTTAAATGTTAAGGAAGAGACATAAAACTTTTGACAGCTTGAAAAATGATTTGCAAAATAAAGACAAGAAACATTATTTGAGGGAAGGGAAAGTAATCAGGTTGTCTGGAAATAACATTTCAGAACAAGAACTGAAAATTGAAGAACTAATGAAAACGAATGACATGGGGTGAATTAAAGGGCCAAGGAAAAATACAGAAGGCTATATGTTGTTGCTAGTCATGGGGAAGGTCAAACAAACGAAGCACAGACTGATAGAACAAAGCGCTTGAGCGTATCAAAGTATATTATAACATACAACAATATTAAAACAGATACTAATACACAAAAGAATGGTAAGTTTCAGGTGAAGGTGAACTTCTATCAAAATGCAAGTGAATCCTGACTAAAACCTCCAGAATGACTTTTCATTCAAAGTGCACTTTGCATCATGAACTAAGTCACGCCCAATGAAACGTTTGTTTTAAGAATGTATTTATGGTAGAAAAACCAGAAGATTTGTATATGATATGTCACATTGTGGTATGAATGAAATTAGACAAGCATAGGGTTTTTCTGATGAAGAGGCGATATGAAGAGTCATTCCAGAGGTTTTCGTCAGGATTCACTTGCATTTTCATCAGGATTCACTTGAAAAACCTACAGAATTTTTAAAAAAGAGAGAGAGAGAAAAGAAAAACCTACAGAGTCCCCCAGTAGTCACCTCAGCCAGTGTTCCCTCTAAGCTGAGTTAGTGCGAGCTAGCTCACAGTTCTGTAAGCCTCTGGCTCACACGTTTTTGTCTTAGCTCAGGAAGGGATGGCTCCAGATCAAACTTAATTTATGCAGTAGCCCGATTGCTCGCTTGCAACTTTAATACCTGCCCACCCAGCGGTTTGAAAGCAACTTAATTGCAAGTAGATAAATGGGTACCCACCCTTAGTAGGGTGGGGGGCACCCTGCCTGTGTGGTGGTTGAAGACAGATGGCGACGGCGGCAGCGAGACATCAGCTCCGGCTTGGATGGCGTGGAGGTGGCGGCGGCGGCGGCGGTGAGCGGGCGCAACCAGAGGAGCGATCCCTGGTGGCTAGAGGACGGAACATCGAGTGACCGCCATCGGGAGAGGGCCGCGATGACGCCAAGCGCTGGCACAGCGGAGCCGGAAAAGGACGCAGCTAAAACCGGAAGGAGGCGGGAAGTCGCACGCCTTGAGAGAAGGAGGTTGCCGCCAGGCGCCGAGGAGAGCGTCCCGCCTGAGAAACCGCCTGAGCCAACAGGAAGTTAACTTAAGATGATCCAAACAAAGTAAGGAAAGCAATCCCAAATGCTTTCATTTACTTAAAATTATTTGGCAGAGAATTCGACACTTTAATGATGGTCTGGGCCTGGCTGGGGCGATAGCTCACATGCCCACAGAGAGAGCACTAAGTGCCACCTCTGGCACACGTGCCAGGGGTTCGCCACCACTGGCCTAGAGAGACTGCGTGAACAGTTCTGTAGCACCTCATCATGGCGTCTGATGGCTTCGCAGAGCACGTCCCTGTCCTCCCTGCTCTCCTCCATCTCCTGTCTCCTCGCCTCCATTTGTTCAGCATGGTGGCTGTCCATTAGTTCAAACTGAGCAGCATGCTGTCTCTCCGACTGCTCCATTAGTCTCTCAGCCACACCATACAGCCCATAGAGTCTCTTTCTCCATGCACTGGTATGCTGCTCCAGTGCCGCCTGGATGGTGTGAGGCTCAGATGGAGCTGAGTTAGTGCAATGGGAGGGTCCTGCCTCCTCACTGTCAATGCTATTCGGCACTGATGGGAAATAAAATATGACAGCAAGGTTATAATTGCTACTTTTGATTGTCCCTGGCATGCAGTGTTCTGCAGCAACATAACAATGATTTATTTTGTTAGAATTATATTTCACCCTGTCCGCCAAGTTTGCAATATACCTGTAGTTAAAATCAGTTAGAATTCAAATGAAATAAAACTGCAATGAGCACCTTTTCCTGCAAGGGAGGGCAATTGAAAGTGCACATTTCTTGCTGACATGTAGGATTAAATCAAGACTCACCAATGAAATCCTCCACCACTGTTTCCTCTGCATCCTCCGACTCCTCCAAGGGATCATCAATGAAAGTAACAAAATGCAAATGATTACACAACCAGATTAATCTCTGAACACACCAGCTATATACCAATGACAGTTTAATAGGCAGAGGGTAAGTGTTAACATTTTGTCCATTAGGTTTCTCAAAATAAGCAACTGACAATGATGAGGGGGCAAGTAAATACATACACTGACTCTAGTGGCACCTTTAGGTCCACCTCACTAAAAGGACCACCCAGCAATCAGGCAAGGAAAATCTGTACATGCATACTACAGTCATCTGTGCATCATCTTTGAAAGTGACCTCCCCCCCATCCCTTATATGCATCACTTACCAGCTCTGATGTCCTCCAGGTTCACCGTCTCCAGGCAGGAGAGGTCCTAGGAAACTCCTTCTTCTTGCACCTCATCCCGGAAGGTGATGGCAGTTGCAACCTCCCCCCTCGGCCTCAACAATCCTTCCCCTTTGAGGATCTGATGTAGCTCCCTAAAATAGGGACATGAGATCCTTCTATTTCCAGGCCTGGAATTATTATCCAGGACCTGCCTGTATTTCATCCTCATTGCTTTAGTTTTATTGCGGAATTCCTCCGCTGTTCTGTCATGGCCCCGTTTGGCCATTTCCACAGAAATCTTTTGGAATACAGCATGATTTCTATGGTTTAGCTTGGCTTGAGAACATCCTGCATCCTGTCATCCCCCCCACAATACAAGGAGGTCACGAACCTCCTGCTCCTCCCAGGTAATGCACCTTATCACACTCATCCTCCCTGTTGTTAATCAACCAAACCACTTTACCCAGACCAGCCTGCCACTCACCAGCTTCAACCCACAAAAATGAGGGGTTTGCCTCCCTGCCATTTATACCTGGTCCAGCTCTGTGCCAGTCAATCGCCTCTTGGCATGGATGGGTGCACATCAGGCTAGGTTAGCAACATCGCTGTCACCAATCGGTAATGCCCTGATCTCCCACCTGAACCTGCTGTCCAATGGGGTACTTGTTTCCAGGTGGCAACCTGACAACCCCTCACCTTCTCCTGACTTGCCAGGCTAGGTTAGCAACATCGCTCTCACCAATCGGTAATGCCCTGATCTCCCGCCTGAACCTGCTGTCCAATGGGGTACTTGTTTCCAGATGGTAACCTGACAACCCCTCACCTTCTCCTGACTTGTCTTTGGGCATGGAAGGGTTAGCAACATCGCTCTCACCAATCACTGATGCCCTGATGTCCTGCTGGAAGCCGCTGTCCAATGGGGTAATTGTTTCCAGGGGGCAGATGTAACCATCGCATGTATCCCAGTGGAGTCCAGGCATTCCGATGGGATCACTATGGCGATAGTTTGAGGTTCTGTTATAGCGTTATAGTGCTTTAAAGTGAACGTTTTAAAAAAAGACGATCGCCCACGCGGGCAAAAAACGGCGGGAACGATCGCCCGCGCAGGCGAAAAATGGCGGGAAAAAGCACATTGGAACTGGGAGAGGAAACTGAGGACTACTTGGAAGCGGTTGACAGGTAAAACGCTTCAGCCCCGTTTCCTAAATGGGACCGAAGCATTTGTGTCTGAAATTACAAATATATTCCAGAAGGGAACCGGTTCTCTAACGGTTCTGTCTGAAATGACAGACCAGAAACCGTTTGGGAACCGTTCCTCTTCCGGAATATATCATCTGACTGAAATTCCTCAATCTTTCATGGGGTCTATGGACAAGAAAATCTATGGACTGATGAGGGAACTTTGGGAGTGAGGAAATGTGGTATAGACAGACAAGGAGTCAGAGTACTGACAGGTCAACCTCTGAGAGACTTCTGGGTAATAAGTATTCCTGCGTGTTATTGTGCCTTAAACTAGCTGAGACACATGGACTGACCATCTCCATGATCAGGTTTATGATTTTTGTAGTTTTTACTAAGGGAAGATAAGCTTCAAATTTTCTCTCTGAGGTGTTAATATAGTTCTTAGGAAGCAATCTTTGGACAGCGACCTTGAGACAGAAGAGTCTGTTGCACAGGTTCTGTAATCTCCAAGCCTACCCAAAACAAAGTCTGAAGGAAAGAAGCCACATACCTCCTTGAAGTATGTACTCCTTGAGGTATGTACTGCTAGATTCTGATTATGACATCAGTGGTTCAGACCTTCCTGTGAAGGGGCCCAGGCTCAATTTCAGACTCAGTAGGAATAATTAGGGGTCACTCAACAATGTAATGGTAAACATTTCAAGCCAAAGTACTACTCCTTTTATTTATCTGTGCATTTTTCTCTCAACCTTCCTCCAAAAAGCTCAACAACAACACCAGTGTATTTTTGGCTTTTTATTCTTTGCTTAGACAGTCAAACCTTAAAGAGATCTGTTGACAAGGACTCCAAGACAGGTCTTGCTGTGTTGCTTGACCATTATTTGTGTTTAATTAGGGCTCAGTTGAATTTTTATGGGGTTCATTTTTTACAACAAAAGGTGGCATTTTGGAGGGATACAGTTTCCCCTAAAATAACAGTCCTCCTCCCCTCCCCCGTATGGGGCCATCTTTATAGGATTGAAAGTCTTCACACACACACACACACACACACACAAAGTCCCCTTGAAAAGGGGAGACTCAAAGAGGCATGATATGTGGAGACAGCTCCCTGCTTTGGCTACAGAAGTTTTCAGTATTAGCATCTGCATTTCACACTGTGGAGTGGATTGCCTTCCCTTAAGTGGGCTGCAACCGAGTGCTGCAGGTGAGGTGAAAATTTTCACCCCCTGCAAAGTGAGGATGAGTTGCGGCTCAGTGATAGAGTATCTGCTTTGCACGCAGGTTAGAATAGACAATATTGACGCCAGGAGTCCTTTTGGCTCCAGAACGCCCGGAAAGGCGCTCCTTCAAGTGTTACGGCCGCGCCGCCAGGAAATGGGCCGCGAGAAGTTCCCCCGCCTCCCCCAGGCCCCGCAATGCGCCCCTGACCTCCACGCGGCCTCTCCTTCCTCCACTCCACACACACACACACACCCCTGCGCACCAGAGAGCCGGGAAACGCGCTGCTGCAGCGGCTCGGATCTCTTAGGCGAGCAAGGACACTTGCAGAGCTTCCAAGGTGCCTGACCTCCCAGCGGCATCCCCGGTCCCTTGAAACCGAGTCATGGCAGGGGGCTGGGAGTGGGGAAGTTCCCCCGCAGGGCTTCGTTGCTTCGGGGACGCCACGCCCCTCCAATGTAGGGGGGGGGGGACGACGAAGAAGGACCTGGCAGCCCAGCGACGGGACACGCAGTTCTTCGCCGAGGCAAAAACTCCCGTTTGCCCTCTGGCTTCCCAGCGTGGTCGTTGTTGCTCTCTCTGGGTTAGCCAGGCAGGCCCCTTAAGGGAGAGACCCTCCACCGCAACTGGTCAGTGGAGCGCCCTTTCCCTGCTGACCCTAGAATCCACCACCACCACCCGGAATTCCATCCCTTTAAGGGTGCGGATTTGTGTTCGGACATGGGTCGCGCCCTCCCTCGCCCCGTTCTATTCTTCTCCCGCTTGCCTCCACCCCTCCCCCCTCCCATTCGCTCTTCTGGCCTTGGGGGAAGACGTCCCGGCGTGGAAAGGGGGGCGGGCTCGGCTGGCCCGGGTTGCGCCTGCGCGCCTGCTGTCGCCAGGAAGGGGGCCGTGGTGGGTCCGGAGGCGCCGAGCTTCGCTGTCTTGGCCCCGCATCATTCTTGGCGAGCCGTGCCGAGGTTGCGGGCTGCCTGTCAGTGAGTCCTGGCGTGTTCTGGACCGAGGCGGCGGTGCTTACCCAGGGCCTGGGCTGTCACTGCGGTGGTGCCAAGCTGCCCTGTGTAGATGACATGCTGGAGAGCCAGCCTGGTGTATTGGTTCCTTGACTGGATGATTTAAGACTGAAATCTGAAGCACCCTGCTTACAGCACGGATGGCGGGAACCCCAGGGGCTGTCATTCCACTCTAAAGCCTGTCATTCCAGTCCCAGATCACTCCTACTACATCCAGGGGCTGTCATTCCACTCTAGGGTCATTGCAATCCCAGACTTACTACCCCCAGGGGCTCTCATTCCACTCTGGGACCTGTCATTCCATTCCCAGAACACTCTTGTTACCCCCAGGAGCTGTCCTTCCACTCCATGGTCTCTCGTTCTAGTCACAGAACACTTCTGCTACCCCCAGGGGCTGTCATTCCACTCTGGGACCTGTCATTCCATTCCCAGAACACTCTTGTTACCCCCAGGAGCTGTCCTTCCACTCCATGGTCTCTCTTCTAGTCACAGAACACTTCTGCTACCCCCAGGGGCTGTCATTCCACTCTGGGACCTGTCATTCCATTCCCAGAACACTCTTGTTACCCCCAGGAGCTGTCCTTCCACTCCATGGTCTCTCTTCTAGTCACAGAACACTTCTGCTACCCCCAGGGGCTGTCATTCCACTCTGGGACCTGTCATTCCATTCCCAGAACACTCTTGTTACCCCCAGGAGCTGTCCTTCCACTCCATGGTCTCTCTTCTAGTCACAGAACACTTCTGCTACCCCCAGGGGCTGTCATTCCACTCTGGGACCTGTCATTCCATTCCCAGAACACTCTTGTTACCCCGGGGGAGAAGGTAGCCTCGCCTAGTGTGCAAAAAACCCTGGGAGGACACTATGGGAAAGCCAAGCCTAGTCTCCATTATTCCCTATGGCCAAGCATGCTCTCCATTGTTCTCTGTGGGCAAGCATAGTCTCCATTATTCCCTATGGGCAAGATCAGTCGCCGTTATTCCCTATGGGCAAGTGTGGACATTATTCTTTAAGGGCAAGTGTGGACTCCATTATCCTCTGTGGGCAAGCCCGCTCTCCATTATTCTCTATGGGCAAGCGTACTCTCTATTATTCCCTATGGGCAATCATGCATTCTCTATTGGCACTCATGCATTGTCTATGGGCAATTGCTGTCCTTAGTTTTAGTACGTCCTGCGGGAAAGTTGATTAAAAAACGACGCACTGAAAGCTTTCTGCGCTGGACTTCTCTTCTCATCAGTCCATTCAGAAGCCGAGGGCGTTTCGAGCTGTCGCGTGTTTCTGGCATCCACACGTGCACGACAAGGAGCCGCGAAACGTTTGTCTCCGTGGCACGCCCTCGCTTTAGGCTCCAGGGCCGGCCAGTGGCCTTGGCGTTTCTGCGCTCCTCCTTCCACGCCCAGCGATTGTTTCTGTCGCGGCCTCCCTGGACGACCCAGCTCGCTGTCAGCCTCGCTTGCTGGCTGCTTTTTTCTTGCGCCATCCCATTGTGGGGCTGAGTGCAAAGGCGCCCGACCTCCTCCCGCCTCGGGCTGGCTGCCGGGTGGGACACGCCTTCTCCGGAGGAGAACAAAACAACCCCCCCGGGAGAGCTTGGCCAGCCAGGCCACTTCTGGTGGGAGCGAGCGAGGCGGGCAGAGCCAGTCACTGGGGGAGAAGGAGGAGGCAGCAGCGCGCCCAACAGCAGGCAGGTAAGCCGCAAGCCGGGGGGGCCGCCCTTCCGCCCAGCTGGGACTCGGGGGCTCAGTCTGGGGAGCGGGGGCGCCGGGGTCGCGGTCTCTGCCATCCGAAAAAAAGGGCGCCTTCCCAGTGTCGAAAATCCCCTGCGGGTGTGCGGTGCACTCTCTAGTCGGAAGCGAGCCGTCAGCCCTGCAGCCTAAACTGAGCGTGCCCAACTCTCAGCGCATCCCGAGTTACTCTGTAAATTAAGCCCGGATCCCGATCCTTTGCGCGGGACTGTCTTATTCGCAAGTCAGAGTTGGTAGAATTGAAGCCGTGTTGGCCTCACTTTAACAGTTGATGATCGCTGTTCTTTTTAAAAAATGTGTGCCGTGGCAATTCTAGCCAAGCTATGGTTGGTGACTGGGGGTGGGGTGGGGGAGATGTGTGCAGTGATTAGTCACTGTGTAATTAAGGAATAGGTGTGATTTAGGAATAATATGGATTTTAGACTGTTTCCTGTATTTCTATATATTTTATGAATTTTGTTGTGCACCGCCCTGAGCCCATTTGCAGGGAGGCCAGTATAGAAGCCTAATGAAATAAATAAATGGTGTGTGGCCCAGCATAAATAGTTGTAGTAGTAGGTTCCTAATTCTTACACTCAATTCTGGATTATTCCTGTATGTGTACACTTGAAAGGGTTGAACCTCACATTTTTGAGGTACAGAAGAAAATTCGGCTCAAAAATACCTCTAGCCATCATGATGCTGATACAGCGCTTCGAAGATATGTTGGCATATTCCTAGACTACTGAAGTTTGCCTCTCGTTTTCCTCCCGGCTCCTAACTGTAGTGTGTGTGTGTGTGGGTGGGTGGGGACATGAGAATGCCAATGCACAGTGGCAGTTCAAAGTAATTGTACATATGGCAACAGATACCAGCCTGATGAAATCTTGTTGGCATTCCATATTCAGTACCGTGGTAGTGTCTTGGGGTGAGTGATCTGCACAACAGAAGAAGCTCTTCCTTTCTTGATTAACACCCCGAGGCAATCATTTCTACAGTTGTAATTATAAACTGACAGTTTTCTTCAATGACGGTCCCATCCCTCTTAAGAGCTGCAGCCGCACTTTCAAAAGTACTGAGCACATTGGGTACCCTAAGAGTACAAGACTTCTTTGATAACACGTGGGCCTAACTGAAGAGACTTAATATGTAAGTATGTGGCAAACTGTTGTTGCAAGACACTTAAGCAGAATGGGTGCCGTTTGCTTCCTAGTGAAGCTGGCATTACACCTTCCACTGATTTTAGCAACGCTGAATCACACCTTTTGCACTCTCTGCTGCTGTGCACTCCAGTTTGAAACATGGACCTTCTCTACAACAGCAATGAAAAAGAACTTAGCTGCGGCAGGCTTGTAGACTTGGTTTCCTATAATTCTTTGATGTTTCCTTAGTTTCAGTATTGGTAATGACAGTACATCCGGAGACAAGTAGTCACATTTGAGCATATACGGAAACTACAGAGGATCATGAGGGGCCAGTTTATTAGAGTTGGCATGTCCCGCCCCCTTGAGTGTTTGGTTGCAGAAATTACAGAAGCTTGTGTTAGAAATGCCTATATCTGCCCTGGAAGGGGGAAATCCAAGCAGCATTTAAGTGTGTTCCTGAAACATTAGAGCAGGGTGTGGTGCTCCTGAATGTAGTTGCTATACTATTGTCTAGTTGCAGTACCTCCTCGCTTAAGAATCTGAGTGCTGCTTAGTAGTAAAGAATGCCCATTTATGGTAAAGCATGGTATTACTCAGTGATATGATAATTACATGAGTGTCTGTTTTGCTTCCCTAGCAGTCCAGCTGTGGAACCTCTGACCACAGTCTATAGATGTTTGCAAAACACCTACAGAAAACTTTGCATTTCATTTAAAGCTACTTTTTCTGCATAAAATAATTCAGCACTTGTCCTTATCTGTGGACAATTCTATGCCTAAAAACTAAGAACACTTGGATAGTGTGCAAAGACCTGCCAAAGCAACAGTATAAATCCTCTCAAACCCTAGGCTCGTAAATCCAACTCTGCAGTCACTGGCCAACCCTTCCTTTCCCCAATTGAGATGGTTATGTGGGCCCAGAGTACACATTATGATTTGTAACATGTATGGTCAAGGTTCCCCCAATCTGACTTTGATGCGAATAGTCAGAAGACAGGAGTGCTTGGGCCCCCAAATCTGATAGGGACTGTGGCACAAGAGAGAGAAGAAGCTTCAGGTTCCCATTCCCCAGTGTGATTTTTCCCAACCTCAAACAGCCCAGGCGGGTGGGGGGGGGACTTCTCATTTTGGATCAAGAAACCCCAGTTTCTCATTTGTAATGTGAGAATATAGAAGAAGAAGAAGAGATTGGATTTATACCCCGCCCTTCACTTGGAGTCTCAGAGCGGCTTACAAACTCCTTTCCTTTCCCATCCCCACAACATATACCCTGTGAGGTAGGTGGGGCTGAGTGAGCTCTTTCTAAAACTGCTCTTTCAAGAGCAGCTCTGACAGAACTATGGCTTGCCCAAGGTCATCCAGCAGCTGCAAGTGGAGGAGTGGGGAATCAAACTCGGTTCTCCCAGATTAGAGTCCGCACACTTAACCGCTACACCAAACTGGAAATAAGTGGCAATTGTGAAGAAAACCACAATAAAGTTTGTAACACAGCAAATTAAAGTACATCTCATTTGAAAAGTACTAATAGGTTAGAGGAGCATGCAAGGGGAGAGGGGGTGAAAGAGGACTGCCACACCAGACTTATGACATTGGCCTCCCTACAGCAAGAGGTGACTGCCTATTTTTATACTCCCACAAGGCTTTCACTTCCTTGAGGGTAATTATTCAGGCATTTAAAGTTTATACTTTGGGCCCTTCTTGTCTCAGCTTGATCTCAGGGCCTGCAGGTATACTATGGCCCCGGTCACACAGAGCATTTGCCCTGCTGAAGGCACGGTACTCCGGCGGATTTTCCGGGCGCGATCTCACCGGAACATCTGGGAGGCGTAGCACTCCTGTGGCCAACCTGTGGCAAGTCGCCGAAGCCGCATAGTTAAAAGCTACCAGGATCGACCTACCAGCAAATGGTTTGCCACGGGCTGCCTCCGGACTCCTGTGGTGTGATCGTGCCGGCGTCCTCTTTGCTGCGCATGCTGACGGTGGAAGCCCCGGTGTGCCACCGTCAAGTCTGATCACCTAACTGCGAATCAGATTGCGACGGCGCAAAGAGCCACGCCTCCCCCCCCCCGCGTTTTCTGGCCTGTGTGTCCAGGACCTATGTTTCCTTATAAGTGCAAACAGTTTTTTCAAGAAGGGCCTGCTAAGAGACAGTGGATCTTTTCCACATTCATGCCAGTGGGGTTAGCAATGTTAGTCTGTTGCAGCCAAAAGATCAACAAGGTTTGTGACACATGACTAACCTTAAACCTGTTAGTCTCTTTAAGTTACTACATGACCTTATTTGTTCTGCCATATTTATATAGGTCTGGCCCTCTGACTTCCAGCTGTAACCAATATTGTTTATAAGTCACACTGAATCCTGTTAATGTTAATTGGACTAAATGGGTTAAATCTAATTACCTTAACATAGTTATGGAATGGACAGGAATGCTAATTAACTCTGCTTCTCTTAAGAGCTTGTACTTTTCTGCTTTTTCAGGCATCTACCATTCATGCTTATTTCCTTGTGGCTATGGTTTAGTATTGTTGGTGATTAATTATATCTGAACAAGTATTCCTTAGTTTCTTGTGGCCATGGTTTAATATTGTTGCTGATTAATTATATCTGAACAAAAAGGGGCAAACATGTGTGACCTGCAAAACAAAGTGCATGGACGCAACAGAAGCTACCACTTGGTCCTTGTCTGACTTGGCTTCTGCTTCCTCATTCTGAGAACTATTGCTGAGGAAGAAGGCTGTCCTGGTAAACAATATTATTGTTTGATTCACTTAGCATTGGCAGGGATGGGGAGAATTTAACACAAAGTCATCACAACTTGATTCTGTGGTCTGTATTAGCCCTGCCAAGATGAGATGTGCTCCTCCAGCAGAGCTGAAATACTAAGCCAAATCTGCTACTCCTTCCTGTGACAACTCCTTTCTCTCTGTCCTGCAGAACTCTGCTTATGTTCTTCTGTAAGGACACTCCCATGAGGCTACTTGGGTAGCTAAATCTTCAGGCTGCTCCATCATCCAGAGAAGTCTATATGCTCCTCCAATTGTCTCTGGGGTAGTACACCACCCACTCCTGAGCTACTGCTGCTAGTACAGTTGCCAAAAAATGCTCAAAGTTGAATTCCACTAGAGGATAGAAAGTCTATGAGAATATAAAGAATACAAGAGAACAGCAGTGCAGATTGTAAAGGCAGAGCTTAGTTCAAAGGTAATTGTAAAGGATGCACAGTAACCTGTATTGCAGCTCAGGACTATGTGCCTTTTTCCATGGCCGCCTACTAAATAGATCGTATCACTGTTGTATCATATCAAATAGAACATGTCACTGTTGAGTGAGTTTCCTTTTGTTCTGCATAAGTTGTATACAGCATGAAGGAAAACTGGGTCCTGGCTGACCAGGTATGCAAAAGAACTTGCCACAATAAGCACTTCTGAAAACTGGAATCCTAACAGGCACTTGAGCATCAGTTCCTGATGTTAATTCTCCCCCACTATCTTATTCCTTCTTCTCAGCCTGCAAGGGGAAATCCCCCCCACCCCTTCATATGTCAAAAGCATTCCTTGGCCATCTGTTTTAGATTCTGTGATGCTCCAACCAATTAAACCTTGTGAAAACAGTCTATATATGTCCTCATAATTACGAAAACTATTATTTCTTGAGCCCTCTTCTGTATATCCATGCTAATATTCTCTCTCTACTCATCATACAGATTTTCAGTTAAAGTGTCATTTCCTGCTCACCAACACTATGAATGTGTACATTTTAGCAAACAGATAAACAAACTATTTAAGGGACTGGAACTTAGGTGGACAGATTGATCCACAT